GCCATTGCAGCCCATTGAGATTCAAGTGTGGAAGATGTATGTCAGGTGTGGTCTGTCAATAATCATAATTACAACAACAGAAATGTTTGGAAGTTTTTGCAAAACATTTATTCTTTAATATTAAAACTAATATCTTTGTCTACAAAAGATAGAAAAAGCTTCTGATAAATGTTTGTATCAGAAATTCTACCATGTGATAGACGACGGATGACATAGAATGTGGCTGGTTTTCTGGCCATGAAGGCCCCCCCCCCCCCCCCTAGCATGGTCAGCATCACTGGTAGACACCATGGACGTGCTCTCTTGTCTGCTTTAAAGATCAAGCTTGAATTGTTGAATTGAGCTTGTTTGTACTGACATTGATATGTTTTCTCACCCCTAGACAATAGAAATGGCTGTGGTCTAAAAACTTCCTGTAATTACTGCTACGTAAAATTTCTGTTCTAGTAGATATCAACTCTAACCGCTTATCCCACACATAATGTATATAAGGTAGCATACAGCCTTAACTCTTACACAGATATGATGTACAGAGAAGCATACAGCCGAAGTCTAAAATCATGACATGTACACAGAGTACAAGTAGCCTACAATGTTGATGGTGTACAATTCTTGGTTAGAGAGGGCTTGAACAAGTCTACCGTGAGGCTGACCACACTGAAGAATGACCAGACATACAACATACATGTACAACAGTACGCTATCTACAACTAGTACAGGTATATCATACATGATTATCAATGTATAGCCATTTAAAAATGGTTCATGTTGGCATGTTCTAAATGAGGCATGATACTGGTGTGAACAGGTCCTTACCAGGCTAGAGCTGCGCGGTATCAGCAAAATGTGAGCAAAATTTTACCATAAGCTATAAGCTGTGTTAGAAATGAATCCCCACTGCAAAAAAAAGTACTTGTTACTTAAATGATCTAGAGCTAAAGGACATGATTTCAATTAAAACTATTAATTATTTAAAATTTTGCTCTAAATTCTGAAGAATTAAATTAAGATGCATTACTGTAATTCCAATATTTTATGTTTATGTTGATCTATGAAAACGAAATAAAAAATCAATATACTGAAAGCTTGCATTGTTGAAAGTAGAAACGCACTGGTATAAACACAGGCATTATATGTTAATGTTACTGACATATAATACTTATCACTGGTATAAACACAGGCAATACATGTTAATGTTACTGACATAAAACACTTATCACTGGTATAAACACAGGCATTACATGTTAATGTTACTGACACACTTATCACTGGTATTACTGAGGTAGAATCATGAATGGCTAGTTATAAACCCTCACATAAAACCAATAATCTGACTCAAATTACCTGCTAAGAATGCAGGTAGGTCGGCCTGGATAGAGTTGTCTCCCCTGGTCCCTTTTTAGGGGATCCACAGTGGCTCATTAACCATTAAATTTAAACATTTGAGTTTCATTCTCTTTAAACTATTTAGGTAAATCACCAGATTTATACTTGTACAATAAATAAGTGATCTATGACCAAATGTTGAACACAGGTTGACAATATCAGTACACAAGGTGCTTACAGAACATATATAAATATCAACATACAAAATAGGAACTTGCCAATAAGTGGTTTTTTGTTAACAACCTATTTTAATATATACAGCCAAATCTGTATTAAGACACTAACCAAAGGAAGCGTGTTCCCTTGACAGAGATCGTCTGTAACAGAACAGTAATATAATGTGACTATCTTGTTCGTTGGGATGAGATAATGGTGATCTCTTCAGATAGGATTGTTTTAATAACAGGGGTGGTCTCTCGAGTCAACTGTACAACGAGTATGAAAATATGTTCTCTTCCACACCTCTCTGTAACATGCATCACTTGTCTGTGAATAGAACAGTGTAATTGTTTCTACTCCCCAATAAATCTACCCAAATTACTACAAGCACTCGGCCCAGAAAAATCTACCGGGAATGCTACAAGCTCTCAGTCCAGATTATTCTACAAGGAATTACTTAAAGCACTAGGTCCATATTGTATGTTCTTAAATATTTCATAGCAACACACTGGATTTCATTTCTGACAGTAAAATTGTACATTACATTTTCTGTTTTATTAGGGAGTCAAGTCACTTCCACTACCATCACAGATGGTAAACTTTCAACACCATTCACGTGTATTTTTTTCTGCTGTGAAACAATGGGGACAGCCATTGTGTTTTGTGGCAGGTATCGGTAATTACTTGGTCTTATTTAGTGGGTAGCAGAGGGAGACAGATAGTCAGTAAACAAATACTTGTACAGATCTCAACAGAGACACCTCAGTTTTAATAAGATCAGATTCCATGGTTGGCCAGTTTGTTTGCAAGAAAAAAATGTAATACCTCATGTCAGTTGTACTTAATACTTGTAGTCAGTCCCATTGAAATTAGTTTCTGATTTTCAGACATTGTGAATGATTATATCCAACCACTTTTCAAAATTCTTAGTTTCTGTAAAACTTCTCTGAATCGCTAAGTACTTTGAAGGGAATTCCAGAAAATATTCTTTATATTAAAGTTTAAATTATTCCTTTATCTAATGTTAACAAAAAGCCCTTTAAAAAGAAAAATAATCCAACCATCCTTATCCAAGCCTTATACTACACAGGTCCCTAACACATTTTACTGTCCTAATACTATCTTCAATGTGTTTTTATGTAACCGTTATAGATGTTTATCATGTCCAAATTGTATGAATTATAAATTTTAAAATAATAAAATTATTGGATTACTAAACATGCATAACAGAACAAAGCAAAGTATTATAAGCAATCAATAGTCCAACTCTGGACCAAATCTCATATGAAAATTGAACAAAGGGCCATTACTCTATATAGTGGCGCACAAGAGCTGATTTCAGTGTGCGACACTGCACTATCCCATGAGGTCCTTCTGGTCATTTTAAGTGATCCAGTATATGGGATATACACTTGATAAAGTAACACACTGACAGACAGCAGACGGATGGTTGAAGTATAAACCTTGCGTCCACTCCGGCAGTACCGGTAGCTGACTAATAAGGAAGGAATCGTAAAAAGTGTTCATCTATTTCATTCACAATCTAAAAACCTGAGCAACTACACTAAGGGAGAGAGTATGTAGGGAGATAATATGTAATGTAGGTATGTATCCTCTTACAGGATCGATAGAATTTATCAGGAACACTGCTACAACAGCTGAATGTAGGTCGGATTTGGGGAGTCATGATATTCATTTTAATAAATATGATTAATAATCTATATTAAAACACAACAAAATACCATCTAATGTTGTACAATAACAGTTGAGCCTTGATCTAGTACTATATTTGGGTAACACATGTCAATAACGGTATTATATACATATATATGGTGTAACACATACAAACAGTAGTACTATCTACATATACACAGCGTAACAATGTCAATACTAGTACAAGTGTACTATACAGGGATAACACAAGTCAATCGTTATATAAATACACAGGATAACCACTGTCAGTGCTAGTACTATACATATAATAGGGGCGACACATCTATTTATTGTAGAAGAATACACATAACTTTGGATGCAAATCTTGAATTCTAGAATTAATTTATTGGTCAGGGAAATATTCGCTTTTCACCATTGGCTGTATTCATGAAACCGTTTTCATACTCAAACTCATATACTGTTCTCAAGCCCAATTTCTTGTTCGAGTAATGAATTAATAAATAATCACAATTTGTTCATGATTTTGAAGAATTTTGGAGAAATTTCAAGCCAAATACCAGTTTCATCATCACCACTTGACTTTTTGACACAGACACAGGAAAAATATTTGCATAGTGTTAATTTTCCCCTTTCACATCGAAATACAATACTGTATATGTAGGAGATGGTGTAGTTCACATAGGCTGTGTACTGATGGTAGGATGTTTGCTAGCAGTGTGATGTAGTTATCATAGGCTGTGTACTAATGGTAGGATGTTTGCTAGCAGTGGCTGTGTAGTTATCATAGGCTGTGTACTGATGGTAGGATGTTTGCTAGCAGTGGCTGTGTAGTTATCATAGGCTGGGTACTGATGGTAGGATGTTTGCTAGCAGTGTGGGGTAGTTATCATAGGCTGTGGACTGATGGTAGGATGTTTGCTAGCAGTGTAGGATGTTTGCTAGCAGTGTGGTGTAGTTAACATAGGCTGTGTACTGATGGTAGGATGTTTGCTAGCAGTGGGATGTAGTTATCATAGGCTGTGTACTGATGGTAGACTATTTGCTAGCAGTGTGGTGTAGTTATCATAGGCTGTGGACTGATGCTAGGATGTTTGCTAGCAGTGTAGGATGTTTGCTAGCAGTGTGGTGTAGTTAACATAGGCTGTGTACTGATGGTAGGATGTTTGCTAGCAGTGTGGTGTAGGTATCATAGGCTGTGTACTGATGGCAGGATGTTTGCTAGCAGTGTGGTGTAGTTATCATTGGCTGTGTACTGATGGTAGGATGTTTGCTAACAGTGTGGTGTAGTTATCATAGGCTGTGTACGGATGGTAGGATGTTTGTTAGCCGTGTGGTGTTGTTATAATAGGCTGTGTACTGATGGTAGGATGTTTGCTAGCAGTGGGTGGTAGATATCATAGGCTGTGTACTGATGGTAGGATGTTTGCTAACAGTGTGGTGTAGTTATCATAGGCTGTGTACGGATGGTAGGATGTTTGTTAGCCGTGTGGTGTTGTTATAATAGGCTGTGTACTGATGGTAGGATGTTTGCTAGCAGTGTGGCGTAGTTATCATAGGCTGTGTACTGATGGTAGGGTGTTTGCTAACAGTGGCTGTGTAATATAGGAGGTTGTGTTCTATAAGTTGGATGTGTTCTGATTTAAGTTTTTATACCAATGGTCACCACCACAATGAATTTGTCCTTATTATACAGGGTGAAAAGGTTGAGAGTTAAAACTGGTGTAAAGATGGTGTAGTTCACATAGGCTGTGTACTGATGGTAGGATGTTTGCTAGCAGTGGGGTGTAGTTATCATAGGCTGTGTACTGGTGGTAGGATGTTTGCTAGCAGTGGCTGTGTAGTTATCATAGGCTGGGTACTGATGGTAGGATGTTTGCTAGCAGTGTGGTGTAGGTATCATAGGCTGTGTACTGATGGTAGGATGTTTGCTAGCAGTGTGGTGGAGTTATCATAGGCTGTGTACTGATGGTAGGATGTTTGCTAGCAGTGGCTGTGTAATATAGGAGATGGTGTAGTTATTATAGGCTGTGTACTGATGGTAGGGTGTTTGCTAACAGTGGCTGTGTAATATAGGAGGTTGTGTTCTATAAGTTGGATGTGTTCTGATTTAAGTTTTTATACCAATGGTCACCACCACAATGAATTTGTCCTTATTATACAGGGTGAAAAGGTTGAGAGTTAAAACTGGTGTAAATATTTGCTGACATACTGTATACAGCTATAACACTTGTAGATACTGCCAGTACATGTACACGAGTGCTCTGTATGTAAGGACCAACACACAAAGACATGGATATATTAACAACACAATCCTATTAAAAACATACATACTTGCTGTTCTCACAAACTCTCATAAATAATGAAATATACATAAATATTTTTGATACAAAAATGTTTGACCTCATACATTGTTTTAAAAGCCCAAATTCTACATGCATGGTAATTTATCTGAGCTCAGTATAGAAATATTTCTGGACTTTAACAGGTCAAGATTGACTGATAGATGAGGTTTTCTGATAAAGGGAAGCATGTGCCAACAAAAGACAGTGTAATAGTCAGGAATGTGTAACCACCAGGTCTCAGCAGCCAGCCCCAGTGTGAGAGTTTTAAAGCCATAAGCCAAATCACCAGTACATTCAGATTCGTATTAAACATTTTAAACATTTTGAGCCAGTTAACTAACCAAAACTCAACCTGCATTATTATTCATAACAAATAACAAGGCAAAAAAGTAGACAAAACAAAGGAGAAAATGCAGAGGTATGAAGTGTGAGGATGACCTTGGTTGTTCTATGACAGAGGTTGATGGGTCTATAGAGGACAGGCTATGGACCGACATAATGTAATTGGACATTCTATGAGAGGATTAATGGTCTATGATACTGGTGTTGTTCTATGATAGGAATGGACTCTATGTGTTAATGCCCTTGGTTTTGATATGATATGGGTAGATGGTATCCTTTGTGTTTAAAATGTCATTGTTCTATGATAGGGGTCAATAGTTGTAGTTCTTATTATATTTTATTAAACGAATTAAAAATGGCCTGCTCTAATAGAAAATACATGTAAAATGTTTCATGACCAAAACATAATGAAAGTCTGGAAGCTTATATCAGCATGTTGTACAATCCTTTTGATCCATCTTCAATAAAATTTGTAATAAATAAAATAACATTAGATGTTTGCAATACATTAGGATGATAACACACAATAGGACAATCTAACGACATCAATAATACAAAACATAGGTAATATCCTAATGACAGCTCAATACACAGCAACACAATCTAATGATATTAATGAGATTCCAGATCTTCTATAGAAACAGACATATTATCAATTCTGCAACAACATTTCTGGTCATAACATATATTCTAAGTTCTGTAACAATGATTACGGTCATTATAAAAACAATACCCTGTGTTTCACAGTGTGTATGGCAATACAACATATCTCTGTAAGGCACACGAACCATCAGTCAGCACATTTCTTACACAACTTCAGGAAATTGAGGAGAAACATTTGGGGAATCAATAATCATGATAAGAAACAAATTTTGGTTACCAGTTATTAAACAGACCAGTTTAACTTGTAAATTGTCATGATAAGAGTTTCTACTGAGAAAGTATTGACATTAGATAATAGCAGTTTTACTTCAAGACTTGAAGTGTTTGAAAAAGTTCTCTTAACTGAACACAGACCTGGTATGGCATTTGATTACACAGGAGTTGCCCTCCACCCCACCCCTGGCCGAATAACCCATTACAGTCTGTTCAGGAGTCGCCCTCCACCCCACCCCTGGCCGAATAACCCATTACAGTCTGTTCAGGATTCACCCTCCACCCCACCCCTGGCCGAATAACCCATTACAGTCTGTTCAGGATTCACCCTCCACCCAACCCCTGGCTGAATAACCCATTACAGTCTGTTCAGGATTCACCCTCCACCCCACCCCTGGCCGAATAACCCATTACAGTCTGTTCAGGATTCACCCTCCACCCAACCCCTGGCTGAATAACCCATTACAGTCTGTTCAGGATTCACCCTCCACCCCACCCCTGGCCGAATAACCCATTACAGTCTGTTCAGGATTCACCCTCCACCCAACCCCTGGCTGAATAACCCATTACAGTCTGTTCAGGAGTCACCCTCCACCCCACCCCTGGCCGAATAACCTATTACAGTCTGTTCAGGATTCACCCTCCACCCCACCCCTGGCCGAATAACCCATTACAGTCTGTTCAGGATTCACCCTCCACCCAACCCCTGGCTGAATAACCCATTACAGTCTGTTCAGGAGTCACCCTCCACCCCACCCCTGGCCGAATAACCTATTACAGTCTGTTCAGGAGTCACCCTCCACCCCACCCCTGGCCGAATAACCCATTACAGTCTGTTCAGGAGTCACCCTCCACCCCACCCCTGGCCGAATAACCCATTACAGTCTGTTCAGGAGTCACCCTCCACCCCACCCCTGGCCGAATAACCCATTACAGTCTGTTCAGGAGTCACCCTCCACCCCACCCCTGGCCGAATAACCTATTACAGTCTGTTCAGGAGTCACCCTCCACCCCACCCCTGGCCGAATAACCTATTACAGTCTGTTCACAAGTCACCCTCCATCCCACTCCTGGCCGAATATCCCATGACAGTCTGTTCAGGAGTCATCCTCCATTCCACCCCTGGCCGAATAACCAATGACAGTCTGTTCAATATTTTGTCAAGGCTTGCCTGAAGCAGCATCAGATTACTAGGTCCGACCTTATTACATAAACTGTGGTCCGACCAGTTCAACTGTTTAAACGAAAACGGCACTGGTGTGATATCTAAGCACAATGGAGTTATCCCCCCTGACTGAATGTATGTCTGGGGCACTTTTGGGTATCTGGTTTAACCATTTCAACTGGCTAAAAATATGAACAGTACATATCAGGACCAAGGCTGACTTTGCTGTGAGCATATTGAGGAGTGTTGGTGTGCCTGACCAGAATAAAGACTGACTTCCACTGGTGTGTAGTATTACTACATAAAACAAGGTTGTCTCAGGATATATTTTCAGGATATATTATGAAATTTAGTAAGATGAAAGAAGTACTAATAATACTTGATGTATTGTTATCTATATTTGTCACAGAACATTTGGAGCTCTGCCTATAAGGTTTGACCATTTCTCATCTACCTATGGTCATATATCGTAGACTATGTCTGTGTCACCTGCCTCGTTTCAACCAGGATACACAAAAGCAGCCTAAATGTGAACTCCTGGTATAAGGGTGTTATCCCCCCTAGCCAAATTCTTACTATGAACGAATTACCCCCTGGCCAGATGTGTGCTGGTGCGATATCTTAGTACAGCGCCCTATATACCCCTAGCCAGGGGTAACATCAGAGAACATAGCAAGGACTGACCTCTCATCTGTTCAACTTTTCATTAAACTATGTGTTGGTGATGGCAAGTTTACATCAACTTGGTCCTATAAAACTGCATTCAGAGTGTGAAGAAACTGTTACAACCACATAAACAACACTGCACTAGAGTGTTATGATACAATGTAGTAGCACCGAGTGTACTATGAGAACAGCTGAAATGGAAGAATCTGAAAATAGATATGGACATGTGTCACTTGATGCCTGGAGTTATCTCCCTTATCATATCCATCCGTTTGCTAAAGTCTCCTGTATAATGGACATTTCTATCTGTCCAGTACACTAGTGGCCTGTAAACACACATCTACATGTTTTAATTGATGGCCATTATCACTGCCAGGACCCAAAAAGGAAGGGAGACCTCCATTAGTAATTATTACATACAAACGGTTTTATAAACACCACCATGGTTACATGTAAATAAGTCCATGGTTGCAAAACACTGCCATGGTTACATGTTAACACTTTCACGGTTATTTGTAAAACTTGCCATGGTTAATTGTTTATAAATGGTTACTGGGTCAGTGAAGACATCTGGTAATATCTTCTAACAGAAAATCACAACATAGGAACATTGATTGTTGAATCTATAGTATCCTCTCAGGAAAGTGGTTTCAATTCAAAATCTGTAAGACTTGTTTCAGTTCAATGGAACCTCCTCCTCCTCCTCCACAAGAAACATCTTAACAATTGTTATAAAAATCAAACAGGAATAAGTTGAGGTGCTATCCTAGGGAATCGCCCTAAGAATTCTCAGGGAATGATCTCCCTGTAGTGATCTGGATTTACTGGTCCATGTGGAGACATATAGAGACGTTAAAACTAGGTCCAACGACTATGGTTCCAATCCAATGATGGCCTGGGGGCTGTAAATAAGGTCCCGTTTCCTAGGGTCCCAGTCGTCACCTCAGGGCCGTCGTACCATCTTTATCTACCAGCAGCTGTAGTCCTGAACCTGTCACACAATATATATATTTCACAATTAATAAACTTAGCTAGCAGCGTGGAACAAACTCTACATATCTGTTTGACTATTGAGATAATAACCAGGTATTGACTATTGACACCATGATTTCTTGTCTATTGAGACAATAACCAATAACCAAGTATTGACTATTGACACCATGATTTCTTGTCTATTGAGAAAATAACCAATAACCAGGTATTGACACCATGATTTCTTGTCTATTGGGACAATAACCAATAACCATGTATTGACTATTGACACCATGATTTCTTGTCTATTGAGACAATAACCAATAACCAGGGATTGACAACATGATTTCTTATCTATTGAGACAATAACCAATAACCAGGTATTGACTATTGGCACCATGATGTCTTGTCTATTGAGACAATAACCAATAACCAGGTATTAACTATTGACACCATGATTTCTTATCTATTGAGACAATAACCAATAACCAGGTATTGACTATTGGCACCATGATGTCTTGTCTATTGAGACAATAACCAATAACCAGGTATTGACTATTGGCACCATGATGTCTTGTCTATTGAGACAATAACCAATAACCAGGGATTGACACCATGATTTCTTGTCTATTGAGACAATAAACAATAACCAGGTATTGACACCATGATTTCTTGTCTATTGGGACAATAACCAATAACCATGTATTGACTATTGACACCATGATTTCTTGTCTATCGAGACAATAACCAATAACCAGGTATTGACACCATAATTTCTTGTCTATTGAGACAATAACCAATAACCAGGTATTAACTATTGACACCATGATTTCTTATCTATTGAGACAATAACCAAAAACCAGGTATTGACTATTGACACCATGATTTCTTGTATATTGAGACAATAACCAATAACCAGATATTGACACCTTGATTTCTTGTCTATTGAGACAATAACCAATAACTAGGTATTGACTATTGACACCATGATCTCTTGTCTATTGAGACAATAACCAATAACCAGGCATTGACACCATGATTTCTTGTCTATTGAGACAATAACCATGTATGGACTATTGACACCATGATTTCTTATCTATTGAGACAATAACCAATAACCAGGTATTGACTATTGGCACCATGATGTCTTGTCTATTGAGACAATAACCAATAACCAGGGATTGACAACATGATTTCTTATCTATTGAGACAATAACCAAAAACCAGGTATTGACTATTGACACCATGATTTCTTATCTATTGAGACAATAACCAATAACCAGGTATTGACACCATAATTTCTTGTCTATTGAGACAATAACCAATAACCAGGGATTGACAACATGATTTCTTATCTATTGAGACAATAACCAATAACCAGGTATTGACTATTGCCACAATGATTTCTTGTCTATTGAGACAATAACCAATAACCAAGTATTGACTATTGACACCATGATTTCTTGACTATTGAGAAAATAACCAATAACCAGGTATTGACTATTGACACCATGATTTATTGTCTATTGAGACAATAACCAATAACCAGGGATTGACAACATGATTTCTTATCTATTGAGACAATAACCAATAACCAGGTATTGACTATTGGCACCATGATGTCTTGTCTATTGAGACAATAACCAATAACCAGGTATCGACTATTGACACCATGATTTCTTGTCTATTGAGAAAATAACCAATAACCAGGTATTGACACCATGATTTCTTGTCTATTGAAACAATAACCAATAACCAGGTATTGACTATTGACACCATGATTTATTGTCTATTGAGACAATAACCAATAACCAGGGATTGACACCATGATTTCTTGTCTATTGAGACAATAACCAATAACCAGGTATTGACACCATGATTTCTTATCTATTGAGAGAATAACCAATAACCAGGTATTGACTATTGACACCATGATTTATTGTCTATTGAGACAATAACCAATAACCAGGGATTGACAACATGATTTCTTATCTATTGAGACAATAACCAATAACTAGGTATTGACTATTGACACCATGATTTCTTGTCTATCTTATCTATTGAGACAATAACCAATAACCAGGTATTGACTATTGGCACCATGATGTCTTGTCTATTGAGACAATAACCAATAACCAGGTATTGACTATTGCCACAATGATTTCTTGTCTATTGAGACAATAACCAATAACCATGCATTGACTATTGACACCATGATTTCTTATCTATTCAGACAATAACCAATAACCATGTATTGAGTATTGACACCATGATTTCTTATCTATTGAGACAATAACCAAAAACCAGGTATTGACTATTGACACCATGATTTCTTGTCTATTGAGACAATAACCAATAACCATGCATTGACTATTGACACCATGATTTCTTGTCTACTGAGACAATAACCAATAACCATGCATTGACTATTGACACCATGATTTCTTGTCTATTGAGACAATAACCATGTATGGACTATTGACACCATGATTTCTTATCTATTGAGACAATAACCAATAACCATGCATTGACTATTGACACCATGATTTCTTGTTTATTGAGACAATAACCAATAACCAGGTATTGACACTATGATTTCTTGTCTATTGAGACAATAACCAATAACCATGCATTGACTATAGAGACACTGACCACATACTGATTATAGACACTGACCATAAAATAACTATTAAAACACTGACCATATATGGACTATTTGCAGTCATCCTAACCACCATTTGTGTGGTATACTAACCTGTACTTTGTTGTTTCATTTATCAAATAATTTTCAATGACATGCCAGCAAGTATAAAAGTTCACTAACAGTTTTCTTGTACTAATTAACAATATTGATTATAAATTGATAGCATACTTTCTTCTCGGGAGGACAGAAGGTCTGCCGAGTTGAAAAGCTCGTCAACAACCCCAGTAGCATCTACTCTTGTGGAGTCCATCCTTCTCTCTTTCATTGAATCCTCAAATTTCTGTAAACAAAAGTAAATAAGCCTTTGAAATCCATATTCAACACAGAACCTTATTTTGGCTAAGCTAATTGCGAATTTTAAATTAATGTTTCTACATTTTTTTTTCAAGTTGAAAGTGATTTTGATGTGTTCCTTTTTTATTGAGAATGAATGCCATGAATAAATCAAAATTTCTCTCGTCATGCATAACTAGAGTTTTGTTTTTTATGAACGAAAATATGTCTCCTCTAAAAAACCAATATGTATATTGAACAGATTTTATTGACTTTGTATATGTCAATTGGATTGGACATCAGACTAGGCTTATACTATTAAGTCCTTTTCAAACTTATTTACAAACATAAACAGTGCAGGGGAGATAGCTCCAATTCAGTTTGTGAAATAAATATTTTTGAACTTTTCCAGATCATTGTCTGTTAATGTTTTGGATATTAACAACAAAATAAATCATGTATATTTGTTGACAACCCATCCTGCATTAATATCTATCGGATAGGATACAGGTCCAAATCATCTTTAATGGTTTCTAGGGCAGGGCTCAACAATAAGGGTGGACCGACAGTTTGAGACTATAGTGACACAGGACTAGACATTAAGGGTGGACCGACAGTCTGAGTCTATAGTGGCACAGGACTAGACAATAAGGGTGGACCGCCAGTCTGAGACTAGTGAAATCTCCAATGGTTTCTGGGGCAGGGCTCAACAATAAGGGTGGGACTGACAGTCTGAGACTGGGGAAATCTCCAATGGTTTCTAGGGCAGGGCTCAACAATAGGGGTGGACCGACAGTTTGAGACTATAGTGACACAGGACTAGACAATAAGGGGGGACCGACAGTCTGAGACTATAGAGACACAGGACTAGACAATAAGGGTGGACCGCCAGTCTGAGACTAGTGAAATCTCCAATGGGTTCTAGGGCAGGGCTCAACAATAGGGGTGGACCGACAGTTTGAGACTATAGTGACACAGGACTAGACAATAAGGGTGGACCGACAGTCTGAGACTAGTGAAATCTCCAGCTGGACAAGGTATTACTGCTAGCCCAACTGACTAGTCATAAGTTGATATTGCTCATCTTGTTGAATTATATTGGGTCATTGGAACTTGCACAACAACTAGTTAAAATTGTTACGTTTGATGAGAACACTGACCACCAAGGTAGCCTACCTTTCTCCGGTCACCTTTGATGAGATCATTGATGAGGGCAGATCCAGCACTTGGACTTCTGTAATAGTAAATAGAACATTTCACTATCACTAGTTGTACAGGAAACACTCCAGGTGGGTTACTTTGATTACACATTACTGATTTGAAAGGCAATATCTATTTGACATTATTTACAACACTTCAGATCTTGAGACTACATAGTACTGCATTACATGGCATTGCATTCTGATATTTTTGTTTACTTTAACCATTCTGATATTTTTGTTTACTTTAACCATTTTTACGTACACCCCTGTTTATCCTGTATCCTTTTATAATTAGGCCCAAGATTCCTGAGACAAAAATAATAAGCTCAGAAGTTTTCCAAAAATTAGATTTTGCCAATGTTCTTTTATTAGATTTGTTTCAAATGGTATATAATTCAGCAACAAAGAAAAGGAAACATCTAGCTTGCAATAGGGAATAGATTTGGGGATATATCCCTAACCACTGTATTATTTCCCCATTCCTGATGAGATTCCCTGGGGTAATCAGTCTGAACTTATTATTTTTTTCAAAAATCAGTCTCTCATATAATTTCACAATGCCTAACAAAGTTTATTATATAGATACAGAATCACCATTTTGCATGTCGTAGCAAACACATTTTCTTCATTTTCAGAGTATAGTCTTAATATGTATTCTGATGAGGAGAGTTAAAATGTCTCACAAACAGTTTAAAACATCTACATGATCATGATTTGACTCATTTCTAGCGATCTAGTGATCAGAAGCATTTGATAATTGATTCACAGCATCACAGCAATCAACACAATTAGCCGATGACATTTATTGTAGCTATACCTCAACACAGTGGTACTAAGGAAGGGGGAAGGAAGCCCAGCTGTATACCAGAATATTCCCTCACAACTTACTGCTCTATATAGATCCTGGAGGGTTATATAGGATTTGTTGTAAATAGTGATGTAGTTATAGATAACTTATAGTGACTATCTTTATAGGATTTGTTATATAGTGTTGTACAGTTACATTAACCACATATAGGTTTCATTGTCTAGTTATGAATTAATATTTCTTCACTCGAATGATTAATTAACAATAAGTACAGATTAAAACAGGTTGTGCAGTTCCATGATCTACATGTATTGTAGGACTGTAAACAGAAATATCTAATATTTCATCCAATTTATTGCTGCTGCATTGGTTTGAATTAGACTTTAAAAGAAATAAAACTAATTCTGCTGCAACCTTCTCTATTTTGCTCCTCTCTTGTTAAGATTAATGTTATACCTACTGTGTATGGACATTGGAGTAGGAAGCAGTGCTGAAGAAATCCCGTTTATAGGGATCATGACCTTCAGACTTGAAAAGGAATCCCATGTTGTAGGACTATTAAGACTACTGTGTCATCCTGTATGACCTCCTTGTAATGATGGGCCGTTCAGACTCTTGTATGACCTTATTGTGTTGATGGGACGTTAAGACTACTGTGTGGTCCTGTATGACCTCATTGTGATGATGGGCCGTTCAGACTACTGAGTCGTCCTGTATGACCTCATTTTGTTGATGGGCCGTTTTACTACTGTGTGGTCCTGTATGACTCATTGTGTTGATGGACCGTTAAGACTACTGTGTACTACTGTGTTGTCCTGTATGACCTTCTTGTTGACCTTGTTGTGATGATGGGCCATTCAGACTACTGTGTCTTCCGGTATGACCTTATTGTGTTGATGGGCCGTTCAGACTACTGTGTAGTCCTGTATGACCCTATTGTGTTGATGGGACGTTAAGACTATTGTGTGGTCCTGTATGTCCTCATTGTGCTGATGGGCTGTTAAGACTACTGTGTTGTCCTGTATGACCTTCTTGTTGACCTTGTTGTGATGATGGGCCATTCAGACTACTGTGTCTTCCGGTATGACCTTATTGTGTTGATGGGCCGTTCAGACTACTGAGTCGTCCTGTATGACCTCATTTTGTTGATGGGCCGTTTTACTACTGTGTGGTCCTGTATGACTCATTGTGTTGATGGACCGTTAAGACTACTGTGTGGGCCTGTATGACCTCATTGGGCTGATGGGCCGTTCAGACTACTGGGTCGTCCTGTATGACCCTATTGGGTTGATGGAACGTTAAGACTACTGTGTTGTCCTGTATGACCTCATTGTGCTGATGTGCCGTTCAGACTACTGTGTCGTCCTGTATGACCTTGTTGTGATGATAGGCCGTTCAGACTCCTGTATGACCTTATTGTGTTGATGGGACGTTAAGACTACTGTGTGGTCCTGTATGACCTCATTGTGCTGATGGGCCGTTCAGACTACTGTGTTGTCCTGTATGACCCCATTGTGTTGATGGAACGTTAAGACTACTGTGTCGTTCTGTATGACCTCATTGTGCTGATGGGCCGTTCAGACTACTGTGTTGTCCTGTATGACCTTGTTGTGATGATGGGACGTTAAGACTACTGTGTGGTCCTGTATGACCTCATTGTGCTGATGGGCCGTTAAGACTACTGTGTGGTCCTGTATGACCTTGTTGTGATGATGGGCCGTTAAGACTACTGTGTGGTCCTGTATGACCTCATTGTGCTGATGGGCCGTTAAGACTACTGTGTGGTCCTGTATGACCTTGTTGTGATGATGGGCCATTCAGACTACTGTGTCTTCCGGTATGACCTTATTGTGTTGATGGGCTATTCAGACTACTGTGTCGTCCTGTATGACCTCATTGTGATGATGGGCCGTTCAGATTACTGTGTCGTCCTGTATGACCTTGTTGTGATGATGGTCCGTTCAGACTACTGTGTGGTCCTGTATGATCTCATTGTGTTGATGGGACGTTAAGACTACTGTGTCATCCCCTTGTAATGATGGGCCGTTCAGACTCTTGTATGACCTTATTGTGTTGATGGGACTTTAAGACTACTGTGTGGTCCTGTATGACCTTGGTGTGATGATGGGCCATTCAGACTACTGTGTCTTTCGGTATGACCTTATTGTGTTGATGGGCTATTCAGTCTACTGTGTCGTCCTGTATGACCTCATTGTGCTGCTGGGCCGTTCAGATTACTGTGTCGTCCTGTATGACGTTGTTGTGATGATGGTCCGTTCAGACTACTGTGTGGTCCTGTATGATCGCATTGTGTTGATGGGACGTTAAGACTACTGTGTCGTCATGTATGACCTCGTTGTGTTGATGGGACGTTAAGACTACTGTGTTGTCCTGTATGAACCTATTATGTTGATGGGACGTTAAGACTACTGTGTTGTCCTGTATGACCTCATTGTGCTGATGGGACGTTAAGACTACTGTGTTGTCCTGTATGACCTTGTTGTGATGATGGGCAATTCAGACTACTGTGTCTTCCGGTATGCCCTTATTGTGTTGATGGGCTATTCAGACTACTGTGTCGTCCTGTATGACCTCATTGTGCTGATGGGACGTTAAGACTACTGTGTTGTCCTGTATGAACCTATTATGTTGATGGGACGTTAAGACTACTGTGTCGTCATGTATGACCTCGTTGTGTTGATGGGACGTTAAGACTACTGTGTCAGCCTGTATGACCCTATTGTGTTGATGGGCAGTTAAGACTACTGTGTCGTCCTGTATGACCTCATTGTGCTGCTGGGCCGTTCAGATTACTGTGTCGTCCTGTATGACGTTGTTGTGATGATGGTCCGTTCAGACTACTGTGTGGTCCTGTATGATCTTTTTGTGTTGATGGGATGTTAAGACTACTGTGTCGTCCTGTATGACCTTATTGTGTTGATGGACCATTAAGACTACCGTGTGGTCCTGTATGACCTTATTGTGTTGATGGGACGTTAAGACTACTGAGTGGTGTGTTCTTGTATGACTTCATTGTGTTGATGGGACGTTAAGGCTACTGTGTCGTCCTGTATGACCTCATTTTGTTGATGGGCCGTTATTACTACTGTGTGGTCCTGTATGACCTCATTGTGTTGATGGGACGTTAAGACTACTGTGTGGTCCCGTATGACCTCATTGTGTTGATGGGACGTTAAGACTACTGTGTTGTCCTGTATGACCTTATTGTGTTGATGGGACGTTAAGACTACTGTGTGGTCCTGTATGACCTTATTGTGTTGATGGGACGTTAAGACTACTGTGTGGTCCTGTATGACCTTATTGTGTTGATGGGACGTTAAGACTACTGTGTGGTCCTGTATGACCTTATTGTGTTGATGGGACGTTAAGACTACTGTGTGGTCCTGTATGACCTCATTGTGTTGATGGGACGTTAAGACTACTGTGTGGTCCTGTATGACCTTATTGTGTTGATGGGATGTTAAGACTACTGTGTGGTCCTGTATGACCTTATTGTGTTGATGGGACGTTAAGACTACTGTGTCAGGTATGACGGGAATAAAAGAAACCAATTGTAAATGGTGGTGCTTTATGTTTTTGTATAATGTAAGTGCGTAGACAGTCAACCAGATATTTTGGTCAAACCAATTGTAGGTTTTGCAGCTAAACAGGAATGATACATGTATCTAATTGTGAAAGTTTATCATTAAAAGTGAAAATTCATGATAAAGGTAGGACTTAAATATGATTGATGAGTCAAAGAACATTAGCAAATACAAAACTAGATCAAACACACAGGTATACTCACAAATAAAATACATTCAAAAATCTGTAAAATTGATACAGGTCATGCAAAAACGTGCTGTACAAAGAGTTATAAGTCAATGACTGGCAGTGTATAACGCTAGTTATGAGCTAAACTATAAACAACTACTGATAGAACAAAGCAAACAAAATAGGGAGTAAATATATACCACACCCTGCCACCATGACCAGTCCACAACCTAAGATCCCTCCATTGCTGGTCCATAATCTACTATCCCTCCATTACTGGGTTATATTCTACCATCCCTCCATTACTGGCCTATAATCCACCATTCCTCCATTAGTGCGCTATATTCCACCATCCCTCCATTACTGGCCCATAATCCACTATCCCTTTATTACTGGGCTTTATCCACCACTACAGACTGTAATAGAGACCACTCCATAACAGACTATAATAGAGACCCCCTCCGTAACAGACTGTAATAAAGACCACTCCCTAACAGACTGTAATATTAATAGAGACCCTCTCCCTAACAGACTAATAGAGACCCCTCCCTAACAGACTGTATTAGAGACCCCTCCCTAACAGACTGTAATAGAGACCCCTCCCTAACAGACTAATAGAGACCCCCTTCCTAACAGACTGTAATAGAGACCCCTCCCTAACAGACTGTAATAATGACCCCTCCCTAACAGACTGTAATAGAGACCCCTCCCTAACAGACTGTAATAGAGACCCTCTCCCTAACAGACTAATAGAGACCCCCTCCCTAACAGACTGTAATATTAATAGAGACCCTCTCCCTAACAGACTAATAGAGACCCCTCCCTAACAGACTGTAATAGAGACCCCTCCGTAACAGACTGTAATAGAGACCCCTCCCTAACTGACTAATAGAGACCCTTCCCTAACAGACTAATAGAGACCCCTCCCTAACAGACTGTAATAGAGACCCCCTCCTTAACAGACTGTTATAGAGACCCCTCCCTAACAGACTGTAATAGAGACCCCTCCCTAACAGACTTAATAGACCCCCTCCCTAACAGACTAATAGAGACCCCCTCCCTAACAGACTAATATAGACCCCTCCCTAACAGACTAATAGAGACCCCCACCCTAACAGACTAATAGAGACCCCCTCTCTAACAGACTGTAACTGAGACCCTATCCCTAACAGACTGTAATAGAGACCCTTCCGTAACGGACTATAATAGAGACCCCTCCCTAACAGACTAATAGAGACCTCTCCCTAACAGACTAACAGAGACCCATCCCTTACAGACTGTAATAGAGACCCCCTTCCTAACAGACTGTAATAGAGACCCCTCCCTAACAGACTGTAATAGAGACCCCTCCCTAACAGACTAATAGAGACCCCTCCCTAACAGACTAATAGAGACCCATTCCTAACAGACTGTAATAGAGACCCCCTCCCTAACAGACTGTAATAGAGACCCCTCCCTAACAGACTATAATAGAGACCCCTCCCTAACAGACTAATAGAGACCCCTCCCTAACAGACTAACAGAGACCCATCCCTTACAGACTGTAATAGAGACCCCCTTCCTAACAGACTGTAATAGAGACCCCTCCCTAACAGACTGTAATAGAGACCCCTCCCTAACAGACTAATAGAGACCCCTCCCTAACAGACTAATAGAGACCCATTCCTAACAGACTGTAATAGAGACCCCCTCCCTAACAGACTGTAATAGAGACCCCTCCCTAACAGACTGTAATAGGTCCCTAACAGGTTGTGCAGTAAGAAACCTGTAGTTGCGTAGCCTTACCTTTTGCAATGTTCACTGTTTCATTGCAGGCAAGAAAGGAAAACATGAATAGATTTACAACAAGACTCAGTAGGACTTGATATAATCAGGGTGTTCTCTAAAAGATCTATTACATGCTAAAGATATATTTCTGATCACAATGTCTTCCTTTACCCTGATAAGACCAGAACATCATGCAATAGCCTGTTCACTGATAACATGTAAATAAAGTATAGCATTTCCCAAAGGTGGGTTCACTCAAATTTCAGGTATTTCATTAAATCAAAATTTCTCAGTTTTTGCTCTGTCTTGACTTGTACAGTCAATATATCTATCCATAACCATGCCTTTTACATATTCCTTTATAGGATGAGCGGTACAAATAGTATGACAACTGACAATTGTAACATCTAATGTAAATGTTATGATACCAATAAATTATTATGGCCAAAAAAACTGAAAGTAGGTTTTATTTATTTTTACACTTATTGTAAGATTTTTGTTCACTGGAAGGTACTTATAAAGTTCAGGACTTCTATGATACTGGAAACAGTGACTATAATACATTGTATCTTTATATAGTGAAGTATTGCTGTAAACTGGTGGGAATCCATCTCTAATTACATGTATAACGGGTATAGTAGTCTTAATATCCGAAAAGTAGAAAAAATACCATTCACAAATAACTGAATTGTACATCAGCTAAAAATTAATTATGAACACTTGCAATACAACAAATAGAAGAATCTAAACAGAATGACAGTAACAATAACGTACAGATATGCTTTATAGTTATATTTGTCAGATAATAACATTTTGCAGCCAGAATATTTAGAGGACTACCCATGGCCATAAACAACACTTATTAATCTGTTCCCTTGTATTATCTCCCTTTGTGCCATCTCCTGTACACACGTACAATGTATGACAAATGTGACATGTGTGTTACTGTTTACAATGTACACTCAATGTCACATCCTACATCACATGTTACAAAGAACTGTGTGACTTCAGCGACTGTCATTTGTTTACATTCTTTTTTTAATATCAAGTTATCTTGTAACTTGTAATATCGACAGTAGTTTTCCTGGTGTGGGCATGCTATTTGTAAGGCCAACAAACAAAGTGTGGGCAGAGTTTTGTCTAAGTAACACCTGGTGTGGGCAGAGTTTTGTCTAAGTAACACCTGATGAGGGCAGAGTTTTGTCTAAGTAACACCAGGTGTGGGCAGAGTTTTGTCTAAGTAACACCTGATGAGGGCAGAGTTTTGTCTAAGTAACACCAGGTGGGGGCAGAGTTTTGTCTAAGTAACACCTGGTGTGGGCAGAATATTGTCTAAGTAACACCTGATGTGGGCAGAGTTTTGTCTAAGTAACACCAGAAGTGGGCAGAGTTTTGTCTAGGTAACACCTGGTGTGGGCAGAATATTGTCTAAGTAACACCTGATGTGGGCAGAGCTTTTGTTAGGGAGACTGTTAGGGAGACATACCTGGTGTGTGTAGTGGGCATGCTATTTGTAAGGCCAACAAACAAAGTGTGGGCAGAGTTTTGTCTAAGTAACACCTGGTGTGGGCAGAATATTGTCTAAGTAACACCTGATGTGGGCAGAGTTTTGTCTAAGTAACACCAGATGTGGGCAGAGTTTTGTCTAGGTAACACCTGGTGTGGGCAGAGTTTTGTCTAAGTAACACCTGGTGTGGGCAGATTTTTGTCTAAGTAACACCTGATGAGGGCAGAGTTTTGTCCAAGTAACACCAGGTGTGGGCAGAGTTTTGTCTAAGTAACACCAGGTGGGGGCAGAGTTTTGTCTAAGTAACACCTGGTGTGGGCAGAATATTGTCTAAGTAACACCTGATGTGGGCAGAGTTTTGTCTAAGTAACACCAGAAGTGGGCAGAGTTTTGTCTAGGTAACACCTGGTGTGGGCAGAATATTGTCTAAGTAACACCTGATGTGGGCAGAGCTTTTGTTAGGGAGACTGTTAGGGAGACATACCTGGTGTGTGTAGTGGGCATGCTATTTGTAAGGCCAACAAACAAAGTGTGGGCAGAGTTTTGTCTAAGTAACACCTGATGAGGGCAGAGTTTTGTCCAAGTAACACCAGGTGTGGGCAGAGTTTTGTCTAAGTAACACCTGGTGTGGGCAGAATATTGTCTAAGTAACACCTGATGTGGGCAGAGTTTTGTCTAAGTAACACCAGAAGTGGGCAGAGTTTTGTCTAGGTAACACCTGGTGTGGGCAGAATATTGTCTAAGTAACACCTGATGTGGGCAGAGTTTTTGTTAGGGAGACTGTTAGGGAGACATACCTGGTGTGTGTAGGGTTTTCATTGCCGATACTCGACTGACGACTATGTGACAGAGAGACATAGCCTGTTGAGCTTTTAGAATGCTGGCTTGCATAGCTGTTGTTGCGCGAGTGGCTCTTCTCAAAGTCATGGCTGATCTCAAACTCTGGAGGATTTTCTGTAATACAGTAATCTTAGAAATATCATATGCAATGATGGGAATAGTTTACCATTCACCGTCAACTACGCTCATCTCAGTTTCTAAGGGTAAAATTGGTAAAATACAATCATAACAAGAGGCATAAAGAGCCTGTATCACTTATCTGTTATTTAGTGCTGTTATATTACAAAATAACAAAACATTTAACAAAATATCTTTAATGCTTAATATGAACCTCAGACAATCAAGAAGCTATGCTATAACAGTCATACCCCATTTTACAATTTATTTTAGCAACCAGTACTTTAAACATTCCTCCAACTTTTCAAACAACTAATCAAATATCCTTCATCTTTAAATTGTGGTTCATAAGAGGTAGGTAGTCATTTCAAGATTTTCAGACATTTGACCCCTGATCTTGATATCACATTGTCTCACTTGTCAAATATCCATATTCTAGGACTCTGAGTCACACACACTCATTTGAAATTTCAACACTACTGACCAGTATATCTGAATAAACCTGACAGCCCTTCAATCCAGTAAGCTACATGGCAAGTGTAATGACCTTATGCCTTATGGTTCTAAAGAGGAAAACAATGAGAAATACATGGATGGACCTGTTTCCCTTAACTCCAATCAACAGTTATTTACCATTACCCTTCTACTAACACATCGGGAGGATGTCAGAGTGATCTCTTCCAAGGATGCCTCCCATGGCAGATTTTCCTAGGTATCCTCCCCATACTTATCCATGGGGAGGATGGCAGTGCAGTTTTTCCTAGGCATTCTCCCAATATTTTTCCACGGTAAAGATTGCAGGGCATTTTTTTTCTTGACCTCGTTCCAATTCTGATCAATGGGGAGGATGGCGGCAGTTTTAAATGGCCTGACTGTTAGTTATCCTTATACTAACTCACAGGGAGTACAGCTTGTCAGTCTGTTAGGGACAGACTATAGGCCGCCATTACTATTACAGGCCACACTTATAACTTACCTACAGGGAGGATAGTGGGGCGGTCTTTCCTGGGCAGACTGTCAAAGCCACTGCTGTTGGAGGCAAGACTCCCCTCACTGCAGTCCTCAATACACCGTGCTTCTTGTTCCTGTACATCCATCATCTCCCCAGGCAAATGATAAAACACGGACTTGCTCTTTTGAGGGCTACAAAATGTTGTCATACATTGTTAAATCAATGATTTGAAGGAATTTTTCTAGATAAGCAATCAAATTTCCTTTTGATTTGACAGAAAACTTGATGAGATACACAAATCTCATCAATATACTTTTGATGAAGTTCTCATCAATATACTTTTGATGAAGTTCAAGTGTTTCTCAAATCTCTATTTTGTACACTGATGCCTAATGTTACACGAGAATGTCTCATTTGCACGAGACCTGAACTACCAGATGTTAACTTACACTTTGAACACAGGGTCTCCAGACACCAGAGACATTTCCACGGTAACTTCTATGACGGAGTTGTCCTGCCGGTGTTTGGAGTCGTAACCCTCCAGAAGGAACTTCTTCGTCTGACAGCCTGACCCTGCATACTCTGCCAGATCTACATCTTTGTACCCCAGCTTCTGGTATGTCTTCCCTCCCTTCAGTTCCTACATAAGGTCAAGGTCAATCAAAGGTCATATTAATCACATATTGAACATTTTGTTTCATGGCTATCCTCTACCTTATCGTACGATTGTAGTCACCTCTGTCACTTGTGTTTATCATAACCATTATGAGATTCAAAATGGGCCAATATTGGTTGAAATCGTGCAGCTGTAACGATATGTATAAGTTTCATCACCACTCAGCCATTTCTAGCCTAGAAAATGTAATACATGTAGTCAATACACTTTCCTAGTCCATAAAGTACACATACTGTTGGCAAGTATTTATTAATCACCATTAAACGAGTACCACAGTCAATTGCTCTAATCACTTGTATGGTCTGTGTTTTCCAAATAGTATAGCTACATATACAATCTATATGAAAAGAATATTGGTGAATAGTAAAATACAGATAGGCAGAAGGATTGATGATGGATCAAGGGAACTAATTTGATTACTATCAATGATAGGGTAAGATGATGGATGAAATCCTTAATTTTATAAAGTTGGCCTTGTTACTGATTATCATATGAATCCCAGGTGGACAATGATACCTGGTAACTGTGGTCTCTATACCCTGGGACCACTACATCCTACACCACTACAAATCAGCAGGGACAGCAGGCAGCCAACACATGTTTATCATTATTAGTCAGAGCACTGTATTCTGATGTATGTAGGAATGATGCATTGTTCAGTAACACTGACACTGACAGTTATAGAAAAATGGTTGCATACCAATATAATATAATCCCTGTACCCTGGGTAAAAAGGGTCGAAAACCAACTCTTCGGGGTTCAGTTATAATGTACACTAATACTTCCTGTAGCCCGGATAAAAAGGGTTCGTATCAACTCTCTAGGGTTCAGTTATAATGTACACTAATACTTCCTGTAGCCCGGATAAAAAGGGTTCGTATCAACTCTCTAGGGTTCAGTTATAATGTACACTAATACTTCCTGTAGCCCGGATAAAAAGGGTTCGTATCAACTCTCTAGGGTTCAGTTATAATGTACACTAATACTTCCTGTAGCCCGGATAAAAAGGGTTCGTATCAACTCTCTAGGGTTCAGTTATAATGTACACTAATACTTCCTGTAGCCCGGATAAAAAGGGTTCGTATCAACTCTCTAGGGTTCAGTTATAATGTACACTAATACTTCCTGTAGCCCGGATAAAAAGGGTTCGTATCAACTCTCTAGGGTTCAGTTATAATGTACACTAATACTTCCTGTAGCCCGGATAAAAAGGGTTCGTATCAACTCTCTAGGGTTCAGTTATAATGTACACTAATACTTCCTGTAGCCCGGATAAAAAGGGTTCGTATCAACTCTCTAGGGTTCAGTTATAATGTACACTAATACTTCCTGTAGCCCGGATAAAAAGGGTTCGTATCAACTCTCTAGGGTTCAGTTATAATGTACACTAATACTTCCTGTAGCCCGGATAAAAAGGGTTCGTATCAACTCTCTAGGGTTCAGTTATAATGTACACTAATACTTCCTGTAGCCCGGATAAAAAGGGTTCGTATCAACTCTCTAGGGTTCAGTTATAATGTACACTAATACTTCCTGTAGCCCGGATAAAAAGGGTTCGTATCAACTCTCTAGGGTTCAGTTATAATGTACACTAATACTTCCTGTAGCCCGGATAAAAAGGGTTCGTATCAACTCTCTAGGGTTCAGTTATAATGTACACTAATACTTCCTGTAGCCCGGATAAAAAGGGTTCGTATCAACTCTCTAGGGTTCAGTTATAATGTACACTAATACTTCCTGTAGCCCGGATAAAAAGGGTTCGTATCAACTCTCTAGGGTTCAGTTATAATGTACACTAATACTTCCTGTAGCCCGGATAAAAAGGGTTCGTATCAACTCTCTAGGGTTCAGTTATAATGTACACTAATACTTCCTGTAGCCCGGATAAAAAGGGTTCGTATCAACTCTCTAGGGTTCAGTTATAATGTACACTAATACTTCCTGTAGCCCGGATAAAAAGGGTTCGTATCAACTCTCTAGGGTTCAGTTATAATGTACACTAATACTTCCTGTAGCCCGGATAAAAAGGGTTCGTATCAACTCTCTAGGGTTCAGTTATAATGTACACTAATACTTCCTGTAGCCCGGATAAAAAGGGTTCGTATCAACTCTCTAGGGTTCAGTTATAATGTACACTAATACTTCCTGTAGCCCGGATAAAAAGGGTTCGTATCAACTCTCTAGGGTTCAGTTATAATGTACACTAATACTTCCTGTAGCCCGGATAAAAAGGGTTCGTATCAACTCTCTAGGGTTCAGTTATAATGTACACTAATACTTCCTGTAGCCCGGATAAAAAGGGTTCGTATCAACTCTCTAGGGTTCAGTTATAATGTACACTAATACTTCCTGTAGCCCGGATAAAAAGGGTTCGTATCAACTCTCTAGGGTTCAGTTATAATGTACACTAATACTTCCTGTAGCCCGGATAAAAAGGGTTCGTATCAACTCTCTAGGGTTCAGTTATAATGTACACTAATACTTCCTGTAGCCCGGATAAAAAGGGTTCGTATCAACTCTCTAGGGTTCAGTTATAATGTACACTAATACTTCCTGTAGCCCGGATAAAAAGGGTTCGTATCAACTCTCTAGGGTTCAGTTATAATGTACACTAATACTTCCTGTAGCCCGGATAAAAAGGGTTCGTATCAACTCTCTAGGGTTCAGTTATAATGTACACTAATACTTCCTGTAGCCCGGATAAAAAGGGTTCGTATCAACTCTCTAGGGTTCAGTTATAATGTACACTAATACTTCCTGTAGCCCGGATAAAAAGGGTTCGTATCAACTCTCTAGGGTTNGATATGGAGACTCAATATTATACACTTACACTGAGGATATGGAGACTCAATATTATACACTTACACTGAGGATATGGAGACTCAATATTATACACTTACACTGAGGATATGGAGACTCAATATTATACGCTTACACTGAGGATATGGAGACTCAATATTATACACTTACACAGTATATGGAGACTCAATATTATACACTTACACTGATGATATGGAGACTCAATATTATACACTTACACTGAGGATATGGAGACTTAATATTATACACTTACACTGAGGATATGGAGACTCAATATTATATGCTTACACTGAGGATATGGAGACTCAATATTATACACTTACACAGGATATGGAGACTCATTACTTTACACCTACCTGTTGATATGAAGACTCAATTGTATACACTTACCCTGCGGATGGAGATGCGACATTTACACTCATCAAGTGACCCGGTGTTAGCATTGGCAGTCATCTTACACTGGAAACTGAATGGAGCCTTCCATTTCACACAGTTGTTGGTGATGTCCTGCCTACAAGTATCAACGGTTTACAATACAACTAAGTGTCAAGTTATATATCAGAACAGTTTGTCTGCAGTGTAATGTTACATAGAGCACCCTGTGTTTTTGATGTGATGAAGTAAAAGTACTCTTAAGCAATTAGTGACCAGAAATGTGCCAGCTATAGGACATGAATACCCTGCTCATACGTCTACCCTGCTCGAGCACCTCCCAGAGGCCACGATCAAAGTTAAAGGTAACATAGAAAGTCCTGCAACATGTTGTCCTCCAAGCATGAGCATGTCACGTTGCTTGACCCTAGCTTGCTGCAGTTCTTTGGCCATAATTATAAGTGACCTATAAATGCAAAAATCTCAACGCATCACTTTGGGCTGGGGTATAAAATTACCAGTACTGTTTTCAAGTGTGATAATGTTACAGTATATCTTAGTACCTTTTCCCCTTCGATTTTAACAAAACACATTAGTACACATTGTATCTGAGGTATATGTCTATATGGTCACAATATTACAGGAAAACCTACAAATATTATGGTAACGCCCAAATTCTTTATCAGATTCCATTACCTTGGAGATACGGTCACTAGATATTGTACATAAGGATTGATTAGAGAAATGTTCTACCTAATTGTTTTGTGCATATAACATAAAAGCTGTGTATAACATTACAGTGGGCTGCTCCTGGATTCTCCCCCGACAGCTGACAAGCTGCCAACATGGCCAGTGATAAGTTCAAAGGACCGGCTATGTGTTACAGTGTAAAAGCACTTATACTGCTGGCATTTCTCATATCTCCCTGTATAAATGTTGGATCTGAGCTGCAACTCTAAGCCTAAACAAGATCAATCTTGTGTCCACCTAGTTACCAATACCCAACATACAATATTTCCTGTTCAAACCTAGAAGATAAATATTAGCCATCTGCTTTTCGTGGTAGGTTTTGAAAATAAAGATATGAAAACCTCATCAAAGTTTAGTAGATGAAGCGGGCCTGGATTTTGGAGATCATAGCAACGTATGGTGTGGGTGATGATCAGGATTAGGGTACATTCTTACACACAGTACATCTTTACCAAGGAAGACCCTGCCTTATAATGACATGTACATGTATACCCATTCAGCAATTGATACACCCAGATTGTATTATTTTAAAGAAGAAGAATTTACAAATATGCATTATTAATGAATGTTAGAAGTAATAAATTGTTCAAAGTAGAAGTTATGTATTTTTATAGGATGTCTGTATAAAGTCAAGCAGTAATGTTTGTAAACAGAAGTTTACTATTTCAAATGTTTCTACTATAGTATATAACCCAGTATCTCTGGTATCCCTGACATTGCTTCTGTAACAGAATACTCTGCCTTCTTCTGCCACCATGTAATTAGTGTAAGAATGACTCGACAGAAGTATTCATCCTTAAAATCCTCTTTCATCAGGGCAGGGACTACGTATCAATAGTATTACAATGAGTGCTGTTAGGGCTCTCTTACCCTGCAAGGAAAGTGGAGAAAGTGGACCCCATCAGCATCTATAGTATAGCCCAACTAATTGTGTCAGATCTAGTTAGTGAACATCTAAGTAATTGATGGAGTGTTGCCTCCCTCTTGCCTTCATCACAAACACTGCACTGACAAGCAATGAGAAGAAATTTGTCAATAGTTTCATGAACAATAGTCTCCCTGGCTGTACAACCCTAGCTGTACACTAGGGTAGTGTAAAATGATATTAGATGTAGTCTACGTATACCCAGCTGTACAGTAGGGTATATGTGTAACCTGACATTACATGTAGTCTACCCAGCTGTACAGAAGGGTAGTGTAACATGACATTAGATGTAGTCTACGTATACCCAGCTGTACAATAGGGTATATGTGTAACCTGACATTACATGTAGTCTACCCAGCTGTACAGTAGGGTAGTGTAACATGACATTAGATGTAGTCTACATATATACCCAGCTGTACAGTAGGGTATATGTGTAACCTGACATTACATGTAGTTTCCCTGGCTGTACACTGTGAGTGATAATTAAGGTAATGCAACAACGCAATGATTAGAGTCAAACTAATCATGAACACCCTCCATTACTGTCAGCTTTTTAACACAATTATCAAATTCCTTCTTTGGGTTGCAGCAGTAAAATTTCATTTGCAGAACTTAATTTCTACCGAGTTAAATCCCATTATATATCAAACACCCTCCCCTGGATGAAATTGGCTTATCGTGGCCCTGCATAGCCATTGTACATCAACAGCAGAAATTGGCTCATAGACAGGGTGATGCATCTGTGACAAGGTGGTGATCTCTGAAAGTGGTGTGAGAGCATGGTTAATTTATCAGGATGGTGTTACCCCTGGTGTAACAGGGTGGGGAGACAGGTTGGTGTATCTGTGACAGGCTGGTGTAGCTGGGACAGGTTGGGGTATCTGTGACAGGTTGGCGTATCTGTGACAGTTTGGTGTATCTGTGACAGGCTGGTGTATATGTGACAGGTTGGTGTATCTTCTGTGACAGGTTGGTGTAGCTGTGACAGGTTGGTGTATCTGTGACAGGTTGGGGTATCTGTGACAGGCTGGGGTAGCTGTGACAGGGTGGGGTAGCTGTGACAGGTTGGTGTATCTGTTACAGGCTGGTTTATCTGTGACAGGCTGGTGTATCTGTGACGGGGTGGGGAGACAGGCTGGTGTATCTGTGGCAGGTTGGTGTTTCTGTGACAGGGGGGGGGGAGACAGGTTGTTGTATCTGTGAGAGGCTGGTGTATCTGGGACAGGGTGGGGAGACAGGCTGGTGTATCCGTGACAGGGTGGGGAGACAGGCTGGTGTATCTGTGACAGGCTGGTGTAGCTGGGACAGGTTGGTGTATCTGTTACAGGCTGGTGTATCTGTGACAGGCTGGTGTATCTGTGCCAGGGTGGTGTGACAGGTTGGTGTATCTGTGACAGGTTGGTGTATCTGTGACAGGCTGGTGTATCTGTGACAGGGTGGGGAGACAGGTTGGTGTAGCTGTGACAGGCTGGTGTATCTGTTACAGGCTGGTGTATCTGTAACAGGCTGGTGTATCTGTGACAGGCTGGGTGTATCCGTGCAGGGTGGGGAGACAGGTTGGTGTAGCTGTTACAGGTTGGGGTATCTGTTTCAGGCTGGGGGGTCTGTGACAGGCTGGGGTTTCTGTAACAGGCTGGTGTATCTGTGACAGGCTGGTGTATCTGTGACAGGGTAGTTAACAGCAACAGGGTTGCATCATCTGTGGTGTGATGAATATAATCTCTCATCCCCTTAGGGGTGAGATAGGGGAATCTCATCCTGATGGGGAAGATTGTTAAGATGTCAAACATGAGGCTTTGTATGTTAAGTGTTTGGCAACTTATATTATGAATCTTTCCCAGAGGATTGAGAGTTCACTAGCTAGCCTCCAAAGGAGTGAATGATTCTTTTTCTTTTGACCTGCTCACCCATTGTGTATCATATATTACATGATCTGCACGGCACTGTGTTGTATCTTTGAGCAAGATACTTTACTTCGCTTGTTCCAGTCTACTCAGCTGTAAATGAGTACATGGTTGGGCAGTGCTAAAATTGTTGAATGCTAGCTGTTAGCGCCGAAATGGCAGCTCTGGCTGTATGCTCCCCAGCTGGGAGTTGAGAAAGGAATTGGCTGGTTGCAAAGGCCCTATAACCACGGATAATAATTTATAACAATATATAATATATATAACAACTAGGTTGTGATAAAGCGGTATATAAGAACCTCGAATTATTATTATTATTATTATTATTATATACATAATGTACAGTTAACGTTAAAGCCTAAAAGCATTGCTGACGTGACATTGAAAGATTGTTGACGTGATGTAATTTTATTGTTGATGTGACAGGCTAGTGTATCTGTGACAGTGTGGTTAACATCAACAGGGTGAAGTTACCTATAGAGGGACAGGGTGGGGAGACAGGCTAGTGTATCTGTGACAGGGTGGTTAACATCAACAGGGTGAAGTTACCTATAGAGGGACAGGGTGGGAAGACAGGCTAGTGTATCTGTGACAGGGTGGTTAACATCAACAGGGTGAAGTTACCTATAGAGGGACAGGGTAGGGAGACAGGCTAGTGTATCTGTGACAGGGTGGTTAACATCAACAGGGTGAAGTTACCTATAGAGGGACAGGGTGGGGAGACAGGCTAGTGTATCTGTGACAGGGTGGTTAACATCAACAGGGTGAAGTTACCTATAGAGGGACAGGGTGGGGAGACAGGCTAGTGTATCTGTGACAGGGTGGTTAACATCAACAGGGTGAAGTTACCTATAGAGGGACAGGGTGGGGAGACAGGCTAGTGTATCTGTGACAGGGTGGTTAACATCAACAGGGTGAAGTTACCTATAGAGGGACAGGGTGGGGAGACAGGCTAGTGTATCTGTGACAGGGTGGTTAACATCAACAGGGTGAAGTTACCTATAGAGGGACAGGGTGGGGAGACAGGCTAGTGTATCTGTGACAGGGTGGTTAACATCAACAGGGTGAAGTTACCTATAGAGGGACAGGGTGGGGAGACAGGCTAGTGTATCTGTGACAGGGTGGTTAACATCAACAGGGTGAAGTTACCTATAGAGGGACAGGGTGGGGAGACAGGCTAGTGTATCTGTGACAGGGTGGTTAACATCAACAGGGTGAAGTTACCTATAGAGGGACAGGGTGGGGAGACAGGCTAGTGTATCTGTGACAGGGTGGTTAACATCAACAGGGTGAAGTTACCTATAGAGGGACAGGGTGGGGAGACAGGCTAGTGTATCTGTGACAGGGTGGTTAACATCAACAGGGTGAAGTTACCTATAGAGGGACAGGGTGGGGAGACAGGCTAGTGTATCTGTGACAGGGTGGTTAACATCAACAGGGTGAAGTTACCTATAGAGGGACAGGGTGGGGAGACAGGCTAGTGTATCTGTGACAGGGTGGTTAACATCAACAGGGTGAAGTTACCTATAGAGGGACAGGGTGGGGAGACAGGCTAGTGTA